TAGGTGAAGTGTAGGGCTGGAGAATGGCTGCCTCTAGCCTGTGGTGCTGACACGCCCACTCATCCATACAAATAAAAAACCAGCCTGACACCGGCCTGTGGCCACGGGCACAAACACATACTGACACGAGACTACAGCACCATAAAAACTGTCACACATTAACATAAACATCAAAGACTGCTAATCTGTGCCTGTAAGCGTCACCTCAGTGTGCAGTAGGCTGGATGTGACAAAAGGGGACGTCTTCGCCATCTATCCTCCTACCAATAATTGTTATCAATATCAATAACAAATGAGACTCGGTAAGCCAAAGGCATCACGGTACATTGTGTTAATAATTGCCATAATGATTTGAATCTCAGCAGTAGCTGATTTTTGAAATTAAATCATTACTGAATATTTTCTGCAGAAATTTAAATACATTTAAATTTATTGTATCCATCAAATTTATTTTGAAAACTACATCTAAACTGATCCAGTCTGAATTCTCTTTATTCCAAATCTAGAGTTTACGATGTCAAATTCAGATCTGAACATCTGCAGTACCCAAGATGAGCATTAAGGTCTGGATAAAGTGTGCCGTCACACCACAGGTCTGTGGAAAAATGACCGATACCAATAAGCACGTGATATGAAATCTATGAAAACAAACCACCTGAAATGCCTTTTCTGGAAATTTATGTTCAACACACAGATTTATTGACTGTCTACATACCTTGAGTTTACCTCAAGGACTTCAAAGAAAGCAGGTCTACAAGAAGCACTACAATGGCTTACTGAACGCATGTGCTTGTGTGAAAGCTGACTGAGACAGAAAGGGCTTCTGGCAGCAGTGGGGGAGGAGACCCTGCATCGACCTCCTTTATTGCCCAGTGAAAGTTCCTGTCACCTCTCAGAGAGGATGAGCTACCATGGCTGAAGACTGGCCAGCCGGCGAGATAACACAGCGTTTAGCGAAAGCCCACACAGAACAAATAAAGAAATTCATATCAATCAGCTGTTTGCTGAAGGCAGACGCATGTTTCCAACCTCCACTGCAATTTAAACTAAGCAGCAACACTGGTTTGTATGTGTCCTGTAGAAGATGAGCGTTAGGAGGTCGCTGCCACCGTGCATTCACAAATTTTCCTTTACTGAAATTAGATTGCGCACGCTCTGGCAGTACTTGCTATTAGCATCGGTACCATGAAAGCATGTTGTATACACATATGTAGATGCACAGCTGGGATGTGATCAGGAGCCGTCTCAATAAACTCTAGACTGGACTATTTTACTAATGGCGTTTAAGTGTAGACGAAGTGGTGTCCAACAGTTTGTTTTTTTTAATACAATTGTTTTAAGCTTTTTTACCTGAAAAAAAAGGCTAGATTCAGAAGTATACTTTGCAGTAAAAGTGCACTGAGAAGTTGTCAGACCTGTGATTTCATCTGAGCGAGTACCAAAATCTTCTTTCTCGTGTTGGATCTATGTGACTGATTGTCAAACCCACTTTTCAGGCAGCACCTCTTCCCTCTGTGAGTCACTGTTCATGTAAGATGATTTCTAAAAGGTCTTGATTAGATGAGCACATCCAAAAATTTCTGTTCGAGTTTTTAGAAGTCATTCAGAAATTGTAGAGCAACAGCAAACATGTACCAGGGGTGTTGTTATTATTGAGTACATATTTATTTTGAGTTCTAATATTAAGGGTGAACTCACAACTCCAGGTGTCTGTCAAACTTATCCTTAGTTTGTGAAGGACAAACTTTTTGCTCACAACTCCTTTTCAATCATCTGAAATGTCACCACAGGAAACTGATGAAACATTGACTCATCATTCATTCACAGATGAACACAACACAATCATTTAAAATAAAGAATACCAGCAAATATGTACAAATAAAAAGGGCTTATACTGCAGATCTTTCCTAAATACACCTGTTACACGCTCGGGAGGCTTTCAATTGAAAAGTAAAAACTGATTGAAAAACTTCATTAAATAATGACCACTGGTAATGTTCTATAAGATTCTAAAGAAACTAATCAGAAGAACAAATCCAATATCAATAATATAAACTCCTCAAACGCTATATTTCTCAGTCAATCACAACACAAAGCAGCACATGACAACAACAACGGGAGTCCACGAAATGTTAGAACTACAATGTGAGAAGGTGGCATGACATCGGCTGTTGATATGTCATCTATTAGATATTTAAGCTCATAAAATAATGTAACTTCAGCTTTAGCTCTCCAATTCTTCCAAGTAAGTGAGCAAAGTTGCTCTGCAGGTTGGACTGGTGGGGAGGCAGACCCTCCAGCTGCTTCCTAACACTGAGCCTCACGTGCCACCTTGGAGGTTGTGTTTTTCATTTACTACCCCAACACATAGGCAGCAAAAAAGTCTGATGGAGGTACAAAAGCAAGTGCAGTCTCCCAATTTACTCTCTCAGATCACTTTTAATTCAAGCATTTGGTTGCATACAAAGGGGCTGATCCTCCAGTGGCAGACTGACTTTCATTTAATCAAACAACAAAGGTTCAAGTGCTGTCAACAATCTGCACAGCTTCAGTGTCAATGAAAAGGACTTATTCCAACCCAGCTCCACAGCATCTTCTCTGCAGGAATCAAAGGGGATCATCATACTTTTAAAGCAGCTGAGAGATTAGTTACGAAAGCACTGATGCAAAAAAAAAAAAAAAGACCCCTACATGTCTTATATATTATGGTGGAGGGGCACAATTTTGTTTTCTTAAACTTAACTGTTAATCACGAAACACTGCAAACTTGGGAGCAAACTGTTGAGCAGCTGCAGTGTGATGCAGATGACTTTTTTCAGTGTTTGCTGTGAAATCATACAGTAACTTCAAGCACAATTCTCCTGTGAAATCTGCGCAGCCCGCTGCGATGACTGGAGGCTTTACTTTGCCGGAGCGCTTTCGTTTAGCTGGATGCATGCAGCCTTACCGGGCACCAGGAGAGTGCTCAATGCAGTTTAACGACACTGTAAGTTACCGTGTCCTCCGTGCCGGTAAGCTGCATGTGGAGGACAGCGTCCTTACCTGGGCCATCCGATCCTGAGAGGGGTGAATTCAGCTTGGGTCGCTTTGCAGTGGGGGGTCCGACTTCCAGCAGATTGTCAGCCATCCTGGTCGGCAAGTCTTATAAATGAATGGTGATGCAGGAAATAAGAGCAGGATCCGTCTAAGTCGTCCGCCTCTGGCTCGTAATGACCGTTAACTTATACTAATGTTAGCGTAAAGGAGCAATTTCACCGTTTTTTTTTTTGTTTTTTTTTTCTCTCGACTGGCGAAATGCTGCCTGGAGAAAAAAGGTTTCAAAAGAAAGGCAACAGCGCCACGCTCCGCCGAAGATCACCCCATGATAATCCAACACCCAACACCCACATAATTATCCTCAATAATTACGTCCAAAAATTATTTCGGTTCGAGAAAAATAAATAAAAATCAATCATAAAATATTACACAAAGCGTAAGTAAATCCCTTTCTCCGCAGATCGCCGGTTTCACGTCTGTACAGAATCATTTTTTTCGCAGTCGAAACGAGCAGCCATAAAATATGTTTTTGGCTTAAATAAAAAGATCAAAATTCAAAAAATATTTTCTATGAGGTGGATTATTTTTCGCGTCGCTGTCTCCCGGTAAATACAGCGTCTCGGGACGGAGATACGGCGAGAAGCGGCGCTCTCTAAAAGGGAAATCAAATATACAGTGGGCTTTCGAGACGATAAAAACCCACAGAATCCTCACATGTTTGCATTATTCCCGATCGGAACCGCTAACGCTTCGATTTTCTGCACGAAAAAAGCCGTTTGATCCCGGTCTGGGTAGCTCCGGTCGGTTTTTAAAATTAATGCTCCCCCCGAAATCCCGATTCTGAGCCGCGTCAAGATGGCGGCTGTTGATTCCTCCGATACAAAAAAAAAAAAGTTTTTTTCTTCCCAGCTAGACGGTGGGGGGAGGAGGGGGAGGCGACGTCCTGTGACGTCCTGACGTAAACCTGAGTCCCACCGTGCGTCATGTGGACGTACGTCAAGTTGCCTCTAGGGGTGGAATAACACAAAAAATGAAATGTTCTACCTGTTTCAAACTTTACACATTGCCACTCATTTCCACACTCACAATCCCTCATTCCTGCATATTGGCATAACTGCAAAGCAAATAAATACATTTATTCCAAGTAAACTTGAGGTGCTTGGTCTCACTTTCAGTATTGGAATTTTATGATTCTTTATGTTTTTAAACAACAAATAAGTTGAATTTAACTTTAATTTATATCAGCCATTACTCTGTATTTATAAAACATATAGAAATCTTTTAAAAACGTGATTCGGTGCTTCCGACTAATAAGTATTATTAAATGCAGTTGAAATTACCTCCACATTGACCATAAACATCTTTAAAATCCCCAAAATATATAACAGAATAATATTACATTCTGTTAAAGGGAAACACATACTTTTAACAGTACATTTTTCTGTAATATTTACCTTTGTTTTTGGTATAACTTTAAAATTATATCGTACATGTATGTATAATAACATTATCAATACAATATAAGTTTAAAAATAATTCATACCTGATTTTGTACCAGCCCTAGCTGTTGAAAAATTAAAATGCATTTCGTTTTAGAGTAGGAGCTCTGTTCACTGTCTACAAAAGACTATTATTTTAATATTCCACACAAAATAAAATATCCCTCTGATTGACTGAACATGTACAATCCATCAAATGCACAATCACCAATTTTATTTTCTGTTGTTATCCTGTACGAGCACAGGTTAAAAAAAAACCACTGTGGAAGAAGTATTCAGACCCTTTAAGTAAAAATAGAATGACTGCAGTGTATAACTATTCTGTGAATACTCACTTAACCTACACAACTTGCCCAATACAAGAGAAATATATTAAAAGTACGGTTTATACAGAAAACAGACTCTTGTGTCTGCGTAATACATTATATTAGTGGATTATGATGATGCAATAATGTGTACGCTGCATTTAAGGTTGTAGCTGGTTTAATGTATCGTTGGGTAGCATAATAAATAAAAATACGTTACACTGAAATAGACCATTTAAAAATTCTCCGAGTGGAGTAGAAAGTGTAAATATAGAGGAATTAAAAAGCAAAATACTGAAGTAAAGTGCAAGTACCTCACAGTTACTTCTTCACAATACTTAAGTACATGTACTTCCATTGTCACAATCTATCATTGGTAAACTCACAACCCAATGTAGTGTACAGGCTATAAATTCAAATGGACAACATTTCCCAGCAACTGACTTTATTCAATTTTAACTTTCACTTCACCTGTTAGCGTGCTATATACAAAAACATATCCAAAGAAAGCAACAGTTCATTAAAACTTGGCGGGAGCAGTCGTGGGCTCCTCCAGTACTGCCTACCAGCAGATACCTTGCCGTGTCTCATCCGTTTTATTTGGCTACTTTAAATCTGAAAAAGGGAAACCTCTACTGATTGAAGCCTTTCTGTCTCAGCATGTCACACTTTTTTGCAATGATAAAAGTTGACTAAAATGTCCAGATTACATTCCTGCTAAGACTAGAGCATTCCTTCCAAATTACACACAACCACACAGTTTTACAAACACTCATACATTATTTACACACATGCAGGCAAACAGAACACACAGGTATTACTCCAACATGGTTAAAGTTACTCAGTTCTTTAGACTATTTAATACTCTAAAACATGCGCTTATATAAATAATAGAAAATGCTCAAATACTATACAATACAAAGGCATACTGTACAAAAAAAGTGAGTGCCTTGTGCAATTGTGTTTTAACAGTGAGTATAGAAATGACCTCCAATGACCTGCAAATTAAGACATTTAAACAGCATACAAAACAAAATAAATAAATCCAAGAGATGGCAATGACACTCTTTGGCATCAAAATTTACCCAGTGTGCCATTCTGCTGGTTCAGAATGTCGCTTACATCTCAATAAATCCAACCAAATCAACGGATATGCTCACGTTTGCAGTAAAACAAAGAGGGGGGGAAGTGGCGATCAAATCTGTGACTTTGCACACCTCTCGCTGCTCAGGCTTCATAAAAAACACATTATTTAAAAGAGCTTTTCAAGGAGCTTAAAAGGAAATGTAGCTTATATTCTTTACCTGACACTCAAAAACCATGACCTTCATTGAGCACTTAACATTGGACAGTAATAATTATTCTAAGCATCCCTTTATTGTGGAGTACAAGGGTTGTGTGCTCATAAGCAAAAGGACCTTTCAAATCACTGTTATTGCATTTAAAACAACTCCAGCTGACAAATAAACACAGCATAAAAGTGAATGCCAAAAGAAATTCAAAAACCGTCACAATCCAAACGAATGTCAAATGTTTGGTATGCTTTCATTGTATATATGTAGAAAAGGCACTGCTCAAATCTTGTGATCTTAGAAAACTTTACCAAAAATTAAAATGTGATTCAAGCACAGACATTCTCAAAGCACATGCCGTTGAGAAATGTGAATTGTCTCAAGGAATGAAAGCGATTGAAAAGTGATAGTGACAAAAATGAAAAGTTCAAAGCTAAAAGGCACAAGCTACCCTAACTGCCACACAGAAACCAAAATCATGATTTAACTATTAGGGTAATGTCAAATGCAGCAGGAAAAAATAAAATATTGAACAATAACAGAAGGCAAATTGGTTCTCTGTGTTTCTTCAATATTTCTCATGCTTGCTTTGTTACTTAAAATGCCTTGCTATGAAATGTCAATTTAAAAATACGAGGTTGTGTCCTTCAGGATATTTGAATGCGATAAATAAGACAGCTGAGCGGGTTTCATGGTAAAACTATTTTGCCTTTGAGCACACAATCCTTTTTGCTAAGAAACAGTGACACAGAGGAGATGTAACGGCAAGAGAGATGTATAATAATTCTGACATGAAATAAAAAATAAAATACAAAACACCTAGGGATATGAAATCCATTTGGTGCACTGTTTTCACATTTACAGTGCTAATACATTAAGTTTCATGCCATTGAAAGTATGAAGCAGCAAAAGCGTCCAGATGTTTGCATCCAGTATTGTCCTTCAAATAACAGGAAGCAGAGAGGTGCCTCAAATAAACAGTTCAAGTTTTGTGTAACAATGAACACATTTAGATTTTATTTGTGACATTCCACTGATTATCCATGCCTTATAAGCACTATCAACTAACACACAGGGAATCCATAGCAAACCTAGGCGGCTGTATTCTCTAATCCACCTAAAGTCATGGCTGAAGACACTCTACAGGTTCACCAGTGGTTTGCAGGATCCACTGAAATACTCATCAACACAAGCTCGAGTTCCCACAAGAGTCTTGATCATGAGTGAAGGTTGCAAACGCTAGTAGCAGTTAGCCTACGATGCTGCAAGCATGCTGATTAAATGAGGCTGAGACCATCATGCCTCAGTGCCGAGGCCATACAAAGCTCCTAACTGAGGCCAGAGCAAAAGCTGCCACATCAGCACAAAACTTTATTGTCTGATGTCGTTCCTTCGGCGTTTGCAATCCTGCAGTTTCATCTGAGTAACTTTTAGGCAACTCTCCTGATTAAACCCTGCATAATGTCACTATAAAGACACACGTACTGCATGCATGCAAACACACTCACACAGCTCATCCTTCCCTGCCTTTAGCCTGTACTGATTAGTCCCTGTTGTGCCCTCCATACACACTTTTCTGGTTTTCAGGAACAACATGGACACAGGCTCTGCAGCATGTTAGTGCAGATATTACGAGTACATATCTTGGAGTAACATCTTTTCCATTTTCCTCCTCTTGACACATATTGGGATGCTTCTAACGTTGTTTCGTTCCTCTTTGATAAAAGGCAAAAGTATCATAGCAAAACATAGTTTAAAAAGTAAACAGGTAACAAAAGCAATGTTGTTGTTTTCTTCTCCAAAAAGTTTAATAATTTACAGTTTTCCCTTTATGTTGTTATCCCCTTACTTAAAAAGGCTTAGTCTACGTATTATTCTATTCTAAAGGCACTTAAAAGATATGTGACAGAAATTATCAAGATTAAAGGTGTAAAGATACTCAAGTAAGTTAATGGCAGACGATGGGATCTGTAGCAGGCAAGAGAAGGTTCAGGGTCAGCTATCACATCTTCTCATTTTCTGTGCATTCCTGCCTCTGACCTTCTTTCTGGTCCACCCAGCACCTTTGATAATATCAGCCAATCATATTTACACTAAAAACAACCTGCTTCCTGGCTAATGAGAGGATGGATGTGGGTTCCTCCACATCCTCGGTCCCTACTTATAGTAGGACCAATGTACAGCAATTCTACACATGCCAACTGGCAGGAACGAGAGCTTAAAGGGTAGAGGGTTGATATTAAAAGCGCCACTGCAGCAAACTCTTAAAGTCTGGTTAACTCTCCAATACTACTGTCATAGTCATCCTCATATTTGTCCTGCTTTGTGTCTTTCGGAGACCTTGTAGAATTGTGGGGTGTGTCTTGCTGGACTGAGGATGAGATGATGAGCTCTTTGTTATTTGAAGAAGGAGGAGGTCCTTCCACGTTGGTTGCAGGTATAGATGTGAGGCCACTGTGAGACACAGATCTCCTGGCAACAGAGGTGTCTGCGGCAGGACGTCTTTCATGGCTGTCTGCCTCTTTCACATGGCTTATCCCTGTTGTAGCAGATGAACCGGTGCTGGCACTGGGTACCATAGTATTGGTACTGCTTGCAGTCGTGCTCGTTGCAGGCACCATGCTGGCAATTTCATCAGTGGGTGAGCGCCCAATGCTACCATCCACCTGTGCTCGGATCTCCGGTGAGACAGAGAGCTGATACTGAGGCACAGGGCCGCTGTCACTGCTTTTAGGGTAAAGGAAGGTCTTCATTTGACCTTTGCCTTTGACATTAACTGTGCCACGATAATCAAACTCATAATCCATGCCACTGAGCACACAATAGCTCTCTTCGCTGACCTGAACACGGCACTCCACACCCGTTGTATCCATGCGACTGGCAATGTTGACCGTGTCACCCCAGATATCGTAGAGAAGCTTAGTGGTGCCAATCACCCCAGCTGTTAGAGGCCCATGGTTGAATCCAATGCGAAGCTTGAAGCCAAAGCCTAGCATGTTCTTGTTGAAGTCATCCACCACACGCATCATTTCAAGGGCAAATTCAAAAAGAGCCCGGAGGTGGGCGTGAGGATGTGCTGCATCAGCACACTGCTGAGCGTTGAGTCCTGCTGCTGCCATGTAGGTGGCGCCGATGGTCTTGATCTTCTCAATGTTTGAGAAGACAGGCTTCCGTAAGAGCTCATCAAAGTCGCCAATCAGCTCATTGAGGACACGATAGCACTCCTTACCTCCCTCGTAGCTTTCTTCATAAAACTCACTGAAATTTACGATGCTGGCAAATATTACGCCCACATTGTCGTGGTTCTTGGAGTAGCTCTGTGTGACCTTAAGCTGCTCAGCCACGTGGATGGGAATGATATTGCGAAGCAGCCAGTCGGCCTGGTCCCTCATGTTCTGAATCTTGATGCGGTGCTGATCAGCCTCTACGTTGCCATGGTAATGTAGACGGTAACTGACCTCAAATTCACGGTTAAGGAACCAGACCAGGAGAAGTAGCAGGAAAAACGCCACGCAGGCCTCAGGGCCTAGAAGGTCCTGTGGTTGTGGGTCAGCGTCTACTGAGGTGTCATACATGATGATGGAGCTGTTGCTGTTGTTGCTGTTCTGGCCATCAGACCTGGTTTAAAAGAGAGAAAAGGAAAGAGGGTGAAAAAGCTTGGGAAATAAATAAACAGAAGATACGAACAAATATTTCTCTTGTCAGAATAAACTTGCAGCTTCTGTAGATACAAGTAAGTAACTGCTGCGACAGAAGCAGTTGGCATGAACTGCACCAACCTCATTAAAATAAATATCTGTTCATCACGCAGAAAACCTCAAATCAACTGGAAAAGAGCTGGGATTTCAACCATTTTCGTCGGGCTAAAGTCCTGCGTGGAGCCCTAAATTCTCCAGGTTTCTGTCATTTCAGAACTATTATACTATTATATGTACTGTAATAAAGGTACGACATATAAAAGCCCCTTGGCTATCAAAACACTTCCAGTTGCTCTGTTTTAATGTGAACTGTGAGCAGATTGAAATAATGACAGTTAAAATGTTCACAATGATCATACTCACCAGAAAAACAGACTCTTAGCAACGCTGGAAGAGACAAAACAGAAGCGACACAAAGAATGCATCAAATATGGACGTCAAGAAATCCCACAAAACTCAAACCTGTGATGTTTCATGAAATTTTAAGGACAGACCCAGTGTCATCATAATGTCGCTACAGTATTAGTCAATAGACAAAAAGCACACAATTTCAAAATACATAAATTGTTCCTTTTATTAATAATACCTGCAGGGGGAGCTGAAGAGCAGTGCAAGCAGTGCCAGTCCCACCAGTGTCGCTAACGTTGAGCGCATCCAGTAGCTGAGCTGGCAGAAGTTACAATATTGTATGATAGCTATGATGACAGCACAGCAGAGGAACATGGTGAACTGGGAAAAATATGTGACAGAGAGAGTAATATTAGTCAAAAGAAATGGTGCTGCAAGATAGCTGGTCATACTGTACAACTGAAAGTCCCAGTCACTGCAGGTCAGAGATGGTAGTTTTATTGGCCCCACAGCTAATGTGTTTTACTGGTAAGAAGCAAATCCCACCAAAACAACAAAACCGATATTTAACACCCGTGTGATCTTTATCAAATACAGAAAAAACATGAGCGCACCTGAACGGAGAGATGCATGTCACAGGTGACATGGAAGAAGACCGCCACAGCCGGCAGCGACACCAGAACCGCCCCGATAAAGTGGCGTGCTATCCAGCCTGAGATGGCTCTCATCAGTACCCGAGTGCAACTCAGCACACTGTCCAGATAGAAGGCCATACTGGAGAGGAAAAACAGGAAGGTGCGACTTCTACAGATTAATATCAAGTATTAGAAATGTTCTGAACATATGTGGTCCGAGCCACACTGAAAAATCCAGATGCAACCGTCTACACTTTCTGTCTATTCATATAGCTTCTCTCACAAATCGTCACCAAACAAGACCTTTTCATTTTTTAGATGAATTTATGTGTAATATCAGTCCATCTGCTGTGGTTTGCATATATTTGGCACATAACACAATTTTGATAATAAAGTGTTATCTATGTATGTTATAAAGCTCTCTGGGTCTTTTTGGTTGAGGCCCCTTATTTCTCACACTTTCTGCCTGAGGGAGTCGTAGTAAAATAAGTAACTGTTCCAACGCTTCTCTCCTGTTTCTCCCTCTGCTCATCCTTCTCTCTGCCAGAATACCTTGTAAATACACAAGTAAGAGAAGTAAGCACGCCGCCCACGCAGTTAGAAAGCATGCCCATGTGATTGTCATGTAAACTAGTCCTGCAACAACTCCTTGAAATATCAGTTGCCGTTTTCTGAGCACTTCATATTAACCCATTCAGTTTCAGGGTTCTGGAAATCAAATCACTTTGGGGGCAGATTGAAGAAAACCCTCTCGACCCCCTTCTTCACTTCCTCATTCCTTGTATTGCACTCCTATTTTTCAAATGACACTGGAAGTCCTTAATTTTCAACTCGGCTAAAACAATGGTTAATTTGCTAACTTCTCTAGAAACAGTCTGTCCTCTAGACAATGGGCTCCTCTGATACTGTCTCACTGGCTGGACTTGAGCTGGTAGTTTAGGACCATTGCTCTGCGTTAAGAATCTCACCGTATAGCAAACAGCAGAGCCACAGCCTCCAGCAGTGCGACTACAGCTGTCAGAACGAGTGCCGGTGTGGACAGATTCTGCTGGGTAACAAGCGGTTGAAGAAAACAGGCCAATGAGAGAGCCAGAAATACAGAACAGCACAGCAGCATGTCCAAGAAAGAGCTGAATGTTGGACTGGCAAACGTCTGCACTGCTGCCTGGGTCTCCACCTACGAGGGGAAAACAGAAAAGAAAGAGAACAGAATGAGGAAAATGAGCAGCAAACAAATGAAATGTGAAAAGGTCTCTCCATTCAGGAGGAGCAGGAAATGAATCCAAACAATCACCAGTAATTTAACAAACTAAAGCCTCAACTGTGATTAAGACACGAGCAAAAGTGGCAGTCAGAGAATTAAAAATGTACTTATGAGGTTACACCAGCAGAGGACATCACAACCTAATACAAAACTACTTTTAAGGTCCTGCAGTGATTTCTCTTTGCCGCAGTCTTGACCGGTCTGGTGGCAACGCAGTGCTAACAGGCTTCCCAGACAAGACTCAGACAAACAGGGAAACACAAACAAGTAGAAAGACAAACACAGAAACACAAGCAAATATACAAGCTCATACATGGAGGCAGCCGGGATGGGATGTCTGGAATCACGGAAACACACTGACTGGTGAAAAACTCAGTTAACTACGCTAATCCTCACAACGCAAACAAACTCAGGAAATACACAGACACACAGAAACGCATTCACACTCATTACACAAGCAGGCATATGGGCATCATTACGTCACACACAAACACAGCTCATACACACACCTCCTCCTGATAGCTTATCCGGTAAGCAGACTCCAGGCTCTTCTCCAGGAAGGTGAGGCTCAGCTTGTTTATGGGAGGTTTGTAGAAATAGTCCTTCATGAGACTGCCAGAAACACAGAAATCAGAAGAAACTATGTACACTTGGGTTTTCAATCTAATTACAATTTCCCATTAACAACTGAGTCTGACCTCTATGATTACAAACTTGTAAATATGATGCTTTGGCAGTTGTCCTGAAGTCAGTCAGTACCTGTCCTCCTTGATAACATCCACAAAATGAGCATCACTTCTCTCCCTGAAGTTCTTGGATCGCAGAGGGATGAGCGCTGAATGGTCCATTCCCATGGCTCCTCCACTCCACGTCTTCTTCTCCTTCTCCTGCAGCATCTCACACAGCGATGTCTGGCTGTTGGTCAGGGCCTCCAGCCGAGGACTGAGAAGGCCGTTCAGAGCTTTGGGGCTGCGTCCTGCAGAAACCGCGGGGGAACACTTCAGATTTGAGGAGTCCTAAGGTGAAGAGAGGGGAGAGATGTCCTGAATTCCCCAAGCAGAAGGTGAGATAACAGATCTTCGCTTTGGAAATAGGTCAGCAATAATACAAAGTAGTCCAAATAAGAAATATGAAAGACTGTGCTTCAGTCATGCCAATTGATTGAATGTGTCAGTGGAACACTTTATCTGGGACTCGTGGAGCTCTATTTCTTTGAACTATTTTTGAGACCTTGATTTTGCTGCAGGGCCTGTGCAAATATAGAAATATAATGACATAAAACATATGACACTGGATGGGCCGATTGGGTTTTTTCAAGCGTAAAAGTCAGACGTCTAGCATAGCAGATAGAAAGTTTGATGCCTCTTCTGTTTGGTTCAGGTGGTGACAGCAGGCTAACCTTGCTGCTGTTCGTCTTGTGGTCGTCATGGCAGCCATTGTGCACCATTCCTTCCTCCAGAACCCGATCCTCCCCTGCTATCAAGGCCACACTGCAAGACAGACAGGGGGACTGCAGGGAGGTAGAGATTGGAGGCGGACAGTATACAGGGAGATGCAGCAGAAAAGAAGGAGAATTAATAAGCTGGGAGATCTAGATCAAGGAGAACATATGAGTAGAAAAATGCCAAACACAGAGGAGATGGAGGATGACGAAATACCAACGGATCTACGGCACAAACACACGCATGACAAAAACATGTCGCCTCAGCTCAAACTAGGAGTGCTACGACAAGTCTTTCATCTTACAAAATCTTATAAGACTGATAGGGTAACAAGAGCAGCAGCAGAGACTGACAAATATGAAGGTTGACAAAGAGTGAACAGGAGGCTTGTAGGAGGTCTGCACCAGATCAGGATCTTTGTGTTCATGTGCTTGAGAATGAAATGTAATAGTGGAATGACTGCCCACCTCACAGATAAATACAACGTCCTGCAAATTAATATGCGACAGAAAAGTGCAAACATTTATTACCACACCTGTCCTACACATCGTGAATGTCATTTAGGCCTTTAAAAGATGAGTTCAGCGTGAACCGTATCTGAATCTGTGCAAGAGCCACGCAGAAGATGGAGAGCTGAAAATGTCATCAGTTGTAGGCAGAAATGCTTGAAAAGGACCTCCAGTCTCTCTGCTTGAGTTAACTCATTACCATACCGAGGACTCCCACTGATACTTCTGCCTCCCATCATCCACTTTCCTCTTACTACATCTTCCCTCTTCACCTGTCACAACAGAGAGCTGAGAGATCTGTGCATGGGTCATGGGCTGCACTGTGTGTGTAGAAAGACGTTCAATTAGGTGAGCAGTGAAAGGTTTTGCGGGTAATTAAAAAAGGACTGATGTGCTACAGGGCTTCAGCGTGTCCGTTGGCACTTTGTTTGTGTTCGTCGCCTTTTTCAATGCTACACTGATGCGTGTCTAGTGCAGTCACTAGCAGCAGGGTGCACAACACAAAGGAATTCTAAGACTGACGAATAAAAAAAAGCATGATTACCTACAAGAACACCTCACCATCCACGTCTGAGTGAACCCACTGACCTTTTAGAGAGTAAATTTGATTTTCTCTAACTAGAGGAAGAACATGGTGTCACTAAGCCCTAGGAGTGTAGAGGCAGTGAGATTTCCAGAGTCACAATATCTTTCTGGCCAGACAGCGTTAGGAAAGCGATCATGTCAGACACAGCAGCGCTTCAGGGGAGGACGACTCTGGGCGCACTGATCATTGGCAACGAATGGCAACCATCAATTCACACTTACCCCTCCAAAATATTCTACAAATAGCTGTCTAAAACCTTGTAAGGTGTGAGCAAGAGCAGAACATTTGTAAAAAGACTGCAGGGTCAGTAGAGCAGCGGACACACATCGAGCTAATGGTACGGTAGAATTCCACCAGACGAGAATTACACAGATAAGCTTTACGTGTCAGGTTAAGCTGAATCACACTCAGAGTGCACAGGAGATGGAGTAATTGATTCTGTGCAAGGCATTGGACCACCATTCATGAATAATGCTACAGTTTGGAAGCAAGTGAAAACTTTCCCTTGAAAGCATGGATGGACATGTTGGGTTGATTAGCACTAAAGGTCAGTCATTATGTAGACCATCTGCTGGGATGACAGCCTAATGAATAAGATCTCACCGTTTTGTTCTCAGATTTGCACTGTTAAAGATTTAATTAGGTATTAAGTGCTACTCAAACTGAAACATATTTGGGAGTGCACACATGCTTGTGCTCCAAAAGTGAAGAGGAATGAAGAAAGATGCTGAAGGTTGCACAAGGTTATGAAACAGAAACATGTGGATACACGGCGATGGCCTCGCATGCAGAAAATGAAAATATTTATTAAAGCGTCTGATACACCCACATACACACACAGCGAAGAGCAAAGATGCGCATCAAAGAGGCTGTGGTAGAACATAGAGCTCAGTGTTCATCCTCAGGCAACTGAGATGTGCAATGATAAACTAACCCAGAAATACACTGACTCCTTCAACAACAGAGCTGACTTTCAGAGATAGTTACTGCTCACCTTGGCTCTGTCTGGAGGAAGGGGGCAGGCCGAGGGTGCTCCATCAGGCGTGTGCACTCTGGGCACTGGATCCGCATGCTCCGGCCCAGCCAACCCCATCTGGGAGCAGTTACAGTGAGAGAGAGGCTCCACCTTTCTGCCAGAGATCAGATAGGTCCTCAGACCTGGAGAGAACACAGACAGACACAGATTAAGAAACCAGGAGGATGTCACCAACAGACCAATTCTTATTTACAGATGGAATAGGAGTAAGATGGGTTTAGTCATCCCTGTGTGACTGTTTCAGCAGAGAATTCAGCAGAGGCCGTACCCAGGATGAATTCCCTCGGTGAGTTATGTAAGCAGGTTTCAGAGAGGGAGAAACACTGAATATCAATCTCTCCCACTTGGAAAAGCAAAGGTCATACACATGAGTCACTCTCATTTCCATACACATGTACATAAACATGTGTAGTGCCTTTGTACATGTCTTTGTGTATTTTCTGTAATTCACAGTCAAACAGATGAGAAAAGCACACACTGCTCAAGTAACCGACACCTTGATATGTGCAACGCTGCTTTCAAGGTCCACGTTTTCTGCCCGAGGTCATCTCTCTTCATCATACCCGTTTCTCTGTTCCTCCTCCGCAGCCTGAGGAGGAATTTCTATATAGTAAGGGCTAAAGTCCTCCCATTTATCCTGCCTGAGCCTGACTTTTTCCATTATGAGAAAATTAATCTTTCATATATGTATAATGCAGGTGCATGTGCATCTTTCTGTGATGTCCATGTAATCATGTGCGATTACACTTTGAGACGTAACAGCCCCAGACAAATATTTGAACACCTGCGTCCTCCCACTTCTATCAACATGTTAGCATTTCCATCACTCCCACCAGGTATGAGTGTGTTTATGCAACACCTTCCCCTAAATTCAGCAGTTCGCCAAAGACACAACCAGGTAATGTGGTGTTTTAGTTAAACAATTACAGTGGTATTTTACCTGCTTAGCTCAGCTGTAAGAAGCCTTGAAATGCTCAGGACAGTGAAATTTAAAATCTCCGTTAGATATCTGCTGTCTTCTCAAGGATGCTCCCACTGAGCAGCTTCCTGCGTTACTGCAGACATATGGGTCGGTTGGGTTTTTGCTGTTAACACTGTTGCTATGATCGATGCTTAGACATTGTAGTGTTTGGAAGACTTAAATATGAGCTTCTCGTCTACTTCACAGAGAACAGGAAGACCCAGTGCGACTGGACTCCTCTTCGTTTTCCTCTCTCTGCCTGCATCACTGTGTTGTGACAAGTCACAGCCACAGTAACAGGTGTGTTTGTGAGCAGCACAGGTAAGTACCTGTGACTGTGTGTTTAACCACATAATTCAAGTGTCAGTGAAGCCACAGCCTCCGGCTCTGAGCATTGTGTGCACTAAGTACTTCAGACAGGCCTGCCGCTGCCTGTGCTGAGCCACCGCAGGGCTCCACTCTGTAACACACATGACACAATAGTACAGTCTCATTTTCAAAGATGCGCGCACACACACACACACACACACACACACACACACACACACACACACAAACATAGGGGACAAATACTGGCTTTAGCATGTCAAGAATCAGACACACAAAAAAGAAAGTAACGTGCACATTAAGAGACAAAGGTAAACACAATTATGAGACACTCACAAAAACACCCCCTCTAACTGCCTACACACCCAGCCAGACGTATAGCACAGTGAGCGGAGGTGTAGACGGGCAGCTTCGCTGTAGCTGGGTCGATAGCCAGGTGGATGAGATTCAGGGATGGGAAATAAAGGCAGTATACAGCAGTAACATCGAACTAATTCCCCGCACCAGTGATGCAGAATGGCACAGCAGAGGAGAGGAGGCAGCAGGAAACTGAGCAGAGCTTTTGACTACCATTGAAAATGAGACTGTGTGAGTGTAACTGTGTCAAAGACAGAGATGCAAACACACACACAACACAAACACACGACACTGACTGATTTCATTAGTGTGCTAATCAAATCCTTCTCTGCTTCCCACCGCGACACACATCCACTTCTGCTCCTGCTCACGGGTCAACGGGGTTCTTTCTTCCCTCCCTCTGGGTTCCTACTGTCGTCTTCTGTCTTCTCCTCAACACACACAGCGTTCTCTCAACTTGTCTAAGATTATGTGGAATGATGTGTGTACAGTAGCAAAAAGATGTCTGCCTCATTTTCTCAAGAAAGGTAGGTAGAAGTCTGAGGTGTGACTGCCTTTTCTCTGAGATTTCTACTACAGAGATTGGGAGCATTTGAGTCAGAGAAACAGTCACATTCTTTTCAGGGTGAAGCATTCAAAAATACTCAAGTATGTGAGTCACATTTCCTTATTTATTAATATATTTAGAGTCACGATTAATGCAAATCCTGTTGTAAAAGCAATGGTGCCTGCGGAGTAATAATTAAACTGTGTAAGATGGGGACCAAGCCAAATCCATCTCAACAGAAATCACTGGACCATTCAACCTCTATTCCCCAACACTGTGAATGCTTATTAACGATAATGAAGTATTTCAAGGTAGATAATAGACACGTTGCTAGAAAGAAAAGGTGGAAGGCAGAGAGAAGATTTGATAGCGGAAGAAAGAAATGCTGACCAAGACAATAATAGACATGATGCCAGGCAACATAATGGGAAGAAGTTGTCGTGTCTATCACTTCGTCTTCTATAAAAATCAGTGTGTTCCCCTTTTGTCAGACTGTGAAAGAGAAACATGAGTGATGCTTCAAGTCAGAAACCGTGTCCATCCTCTCCTCAGGTTATTGTGGATGTATGTTAGATTGATCCCATCTTGGAGGCAGACAGCTTGTTTCAGGAAATCATTTCACATGTCAGAGTCAGAGAGGGGCAAGATAAAGGGACGGCAGGGGTTTGCAAAGTTACACAGCGTGTTATCTCTGTTTGTGTGAGAGCGCACATGAGACTTTATGCAGATGTCTGTGTTTGTCTTCGAGGACAATCTCTCGTCTTTACAGCCTCACCTTGTGGCAGCTGAAATGATTTAGATGGTAGCTCTGATAAACTGGGCTGAGCTTCAACAGCATCATCAGAACACAGCTGCTCTAAAGGCCTCCTCGCAGGGAAAAAGGTCAGGAAACTTCACGCTGTGGGTTCCAGTTGATGTCTCTTGTTTCTTTCCTGCTGAGCGAGCCTGTATTCGACCGTCCACCTGTCGCTCTGCCCACATCTGTGTGACGGCCTCCAAAGCAGGTGTGTTAGCGTGTTGGCCCTCCTCTATCTCAGATGACCTTGGGCTAATTGAAGAGCATCATTAGTGGCAGCCTCTGGGCGTTATGGGGCTTCAAGTGTCCTGTCTGGTGCTATCAGCTGACAGGGAACAGTAGATAACCTTTCCCCGTGAGAGCGCCGTCACATTATCTCGCTCTCCAAGCCCCTTTGTTCAGGACAGAGAGCGAAATGAGAAAACACTTTGCAAACAAACAACACCATCACCTCCACTCCTCCCTTCCACGCCACTCTTCACAGCATGTCCAAGCTCTCGTGGGACAATAGCCGCCCCTGAGCTCATTTTGCATGAAGCTGGGAGTGACACAGACAATGCAGCGGTCATTTAATGTAAGCCTCAACTGGCCCTGAGCAAAGACAGAGACAACTAAGTGGAATGCAAACAACCTGCAACAAAAAGTCTGGCTGCTACACGTCCTGAAGCTGCCCTACATACAACAAAGCAAGCACACACAAAAAAGAATAAGGCTACATAAGGACAAGTCATTATTCAAAAGAGAAGAAATCTTATTTTACCACCAGGATAACAAGCACACAAATGCGACAGGTGCAATATCCAGAAATACAAAACTTCCTGGACGTTTCTCACAAAGCGACACTCTTTATTTCAACTTCTAATCGCAACCAAATCGCAGACAGGTTTATTAGAAACAATCAGAGGGCAGCAAAGACGGAAGTAGGGCTGGCAGATATGCTTGGATCAGCACACATTTACACATCATGTGCCTGATCCTGCTATGATGACAGGTTTGCTTTCCAGGGCCAGGTATCGGAGCAGGAGGCCAATGGAGCAGGTGGCACAGAGAAACTAGCACTGCTTGGCCGGGCAGCTTTCATTGCCATTTGGCAGAAGGCCCCCTCCCTCTCCGTCCACTGTGTCTCTGCACAGGGATATTCTGTACATCCTGTCCCTGTTGAGGGGACGAGGAACAAGAGGAAACCTATCCAGCATGACAGGCTGTTTGGGAGAACTTCATTACTGCAGTATGGAGAGGAGGGAACGCTGCACAGGTCTCAGGGACAATTTAAAAAAGAGAAAGAAGCAAAAGTGGACAGAGCATGTTTGTGAGTTGGTTCGTTCTGGTGGTGGAACAAAAAAAAAATGTGCCTCTGAGTGATCCCATTCAGTCAGTCAGAAAACATGAATGACACGTGCATTTTTCATAAGGAATCGCTGAGGGACTCACACTGTCATTTCTGTCAGAGAAGGAGAAGCTTGTTCATGTCTCCGGAGCAGAGCTTGGGGAGAGCTGGGGGAGGAAGGGTGAGACACTGACCTTCCTCTTCACAGCCGAGCCCAGGTTACTTCTGGGGCGTTGAGGCACATGTAAGAAGGTGAGCAGAACTACTTATTCCTGTCAGAGAAGGTCAAGGAGAGACGTTTGAATACAGAAGGCTGTTTCACATGCCAACGCTGCCGACAACACACTGTCTTCTGAATAATATATGGGGGAATGTTTTAATGCATCGCTCCATTTACTACACAAGCATGATGAGCAGGATGAACTGCATGCGCTGTACTGGGTTAGTAGCAACACATATTATCAATTCCCAGCATTATGTTTTACTAATCAGGCCTCTGACCAGTTTACAGTCGATTAGGGCTGAGTGAGATAAAGATACCATCGAGTTTTCAGTTTCCCCTTGATGACTCATAAGAGCATCACCTTGTTGTTACGAGCAAAAATATCATTTTTCTTTAGCACAGCAAAAAAACAAGCTGCTGCTAAATATGTCACACAGAAAAAGAAATTGTGCAGTGGCGTACAAAAAAACAAAAAAGAAAAGAAAAGAACGAAGCAGGAGCACTTCTGGTCTGCCTTTCCAGAAACTATGTTTATCTTCAGAGATTGACGAGCCGGTTGTAATAGTCTATTTACAGTGTTCCTG